GGATGCCGAGGCAGAGAGTTAAGGAAGCGAAGCGTGTGAGCACCCAGGAGTTAGGGCAGACCTGTGCTCGAACGTGGCTTCCTGCCCACAGCCCCGCCCTCTGTGGCCAGCGCCACATGTCACACATGAAGCTCCAGCTCCCTGGTCCCCAGGCCTGAGTCTCTCCCTTGCTCCCCTCCACGCCAGGCTCTGCTCTGAATGACTCTCCTGTGGGTCTGGCTGCCTATATTCTAGAGAAGTTTTCCACCTGGACCAATACGGAATTCCGATACCTGGAGGATGGAGGCCTGGAAAGGTGAGACCCTGGTTTGCCCCGGCAGTTGTGACCCTGGTCCCAGCAGCCAACCTCCTCACCCTCTTCATCCCCTTGTCTGGTTGCTCTGCATGGGGCGCTCACCAAATTCTATTGTTGACTTTCTTACAAATCCTCACCCCATGACCAACATAGCTGCATTTTTCGGGTGAGGCGGCCTGGTGAGTTGCTCCCAGCCTCACAGTGCATGGTCAGGACTAGGATGCAGGCTCACCTGCTTGTGCTCCTTTTGCTGAACAGGCCCCTCTGGGATTAGGGAGCCCAGAGGGCAGCAGGCACCACGTTATTGCCAAGAGCATCTGGGCTCTTCCTCCTGCTTCCCTGGAGAACCTGGCATCAGGGTCACATGACTGCGTGTTCCAGGAGGGTGGTCGCAGAAAGACAGGAGGCTGTTACATCTCTCAGAGCCTTCAAGGCTGTATCCTCTACATGCCTGACTCCCAGCTCTGTGGCCTGACTCAGGCTTCACCAAGGTCAGCTCTGAGCCACCCTTTCCAGGGCCCATCCCTTTATTCCTTCAGTGACACACAGAGGACCAGATAGTGCTGGGGATGAGAAAGAGAGTAAAATGAGACTGAATCCCGCCTTAGGGGTAGGGACTCTGTCTTGGCCATGCTCTAGCCCCATCACCTAGAACAGTGCCGGGTGAACAGTGGGAGCCCAGTACCTAGATGTTGAATGAATGCACAAAGGACTGTGAGAGTTCAGTGTAAGGAGGATTCTCTTTGTCTAAGCGGCAGAGAGGGGAAATGACCAGGAGAATGTATCTGATTTGGGCCTTGGAGGATGAGTAGGAGTTTGCTGGATGGAGGAGAGAAATTTAGGCAAAGAGAAAAGCCATAAAAAATGCAAGGAAAGGGTGCTTGGAAAGGGTGGCTTGTCCAGAGGCTGAAGCAGGTACACTGGGGCCAGATTGCAAGCAAACTCATTCTTGCAGGCAGGTCCTCGCCTCCTCCAAGAGCCTCAGCAGGGCCTTCCTCTGGGATCTGCTTCCCCTGCCCTACATTCAGCAGGACCCAGGGGTCGATGGAGCTCCTGCAGGACCACATTGGCAAGGGGTCTGGCCTGTTCCTTGTACACAGATACCTGGAACCAGACGCGAGGCCCCACCAGACTGTCCCACTAGGCCACTCCTGCAGCTCTGGCCCCAGGTTACAGGGAGCACCAAAGCCCTGAGCAGGAGGCAGACAGGATCAGATCTGTGTTCCAGAAAGAACCAGAACACACAAGAGTGGAAATGGTGGTGGTGGTAGTTTTCAAGCTGCAGGCAGAGCCGAAAGGGAGATGGAAGCACTTGGCCGACTTGCAGAAATCCAGCTCACAGAGTTGGCGTGTGTACTGGAACTAGTTTTCATTGATGTTTTCATTTTGCCACCAAAATCACATGGAAAAGGCTGTTCCCTTTATCTCTGCCCCTGCTCCGTGCTGCTGTTGCTAGAGATCCAGGGTTTGAGACAGGAAGGTGGGGTTGGGAGCGCCTGCTCTGGGGACAGTGGAAGGTGGGGTGGGGGCTGTGGAGTGTGCATCCTAGACCCAAGTTGCCCAGGTTTGAATTCTCCACTTAATAAGTAAAATGGAGATAATAGTACCTATGTCCCATAGGCTATTGAGAGGAAAACATGAATTAAATGAAGGTAAGGACCTTAGAACATGCTGCCTGGTACGTGGTCACCATAGTAGCTGATGTCCTGAGCAGTTTCATGGTGCAGGGGTGGAGGGGAGGGAGGAGATGTCAGTGGCAGGAGAGAGGGGATGGATGTGTAGAGTCAAGGTGGGTGTGGGGGAGGACCTTGGGGTGATAAGAGACACTTTGATTAAATTCATGCACTCCAGTCTGGTGCCCTGGGCAAAGCCTGCCTGTGACATGAGGATACCACACACCTTGCATGAGGTCTGAGGAGGGAAGCCGCATGGTCAGGGCCTGGCATTTGTAGGACTTTCCAGCTGCCCTTTGTCACACAACTGCATCTGGCACTAAGAGTGGGGCTTTGTGTTCTGTGTTCCCAGGAAGTTCTCCCTGGATGACCTGCTGACCAACGTCATGCTCTACTGGACAACAGCAACCATCGTCTCCTCCCAGCGCTTCTACAAGGAGAACCTGGGACAGGGCTGGATGACCCAGAAGCATGAGCGGTGAGCCTGGCTGACTGAGAACAGGGGCCTCTGAGGCTGGAGGCAGGGGGATGGCCAGTCTGGAGCTCCAGTAAGGGCCGTCGGTGGTGGGATAAGTATAGCCTTGCCTGCAGGGGTGCCCCAGGGCCCTTGGATGGGAACACTAAAGGTCAAGGGGTTTGGAGAAAGCCCTCATGGAGGGACCACGTGCCTGGCTCCTGGGCAGCCCTCAGTACTGCTCCCGAGTCCAGGATGCTGGTCTGAGTGGCTCTGATGGTTCTGGGATTTCCAAGTCTCACATGGAGACCCTCAAAGGTGGGGATTTAGAGGCTGTCCCATGCCTCTGCCTGGGTGGCCCTCCCACAAAAGAGAGGATAGTGAGGGGAGCGGTTGAGACCTGGATTTGTCCTTTTCTTTATGGCTCCTTGTGGGGGGGCCAGCTGATCTCATCCCCCAGGCTCTTGAACCCCCTGCTGTGCAGGACGGAGAGGCGCAGGGCCACAGCCTCCCGCACCCCATCGGCTCTTTCGCTTTCAGGATGAAGGTCTACGTGCCCACTGGCTTCTCTGCCTTCCCTTCTGAGCTAATGCACACGCCTGAAAAGTGGGTGAGGATCAAGTACCCGAAGCTCATCTCCTATTCCTACATGGCCCGTGGGGGCCACTTTGCAGCCTTTGAGGAACCGGAGCTGCTTGCCCAGGACATCCGCAAGTTCCTGTCAGTGCTGGAGCAGCAGTGACCACCCCACACCGCCCCCTGCCTCCCTCCACAAGTGCCCTCCAGGCTTTTCTTTGGGAAGATACCCCTTTTCTGAGGAATGAGTTTGCTTCCGTCCCCTGCCCATGCTGGGAGCCCACACTTACCCCCTCACCCCTCCAAGCTCACTCCCCAATCCCCAACTCTGTGCGATAAGCAATATGGCCTTGATGATAAATGACTTTACTTCTAACAGCGGCTGGAACCCAGTGACATAAGCATGCCCTGACCCCACATGGGGCCCCCTGTCCAAGCAGAGCTGGCAGGCCCCTCCTTGCTGGCAGAGGCACAGGAGGCCCATTGGGGATGAGGCCACTGGCCAGGGCTGTGCTGCACCAGACCAATGGCACCGCCCCCACCCCTCCCAGCACAGGGGCAGCTTGGAGCAGAGGCGGCATTGGCCGCCACTGCAGGCGCAAGTCAGCGTCAACAGGGTCCCTGAGTCAGAAAGCCCAGGCCCACCAGGTCAGCGGACAGGCACAGGCAGGGCCTGCAGAGGTGCCAAGGCCCTGGCCCAGTTGGGCTGGAAGGAGCCTGGACCTGCTCTTCCGCACCCCCTCCCACCCCCACGGCACAGGCTTGTGCCTTGGTGCCCCCTGGAGGTAGCAGGGAGGAGGCTTCTCAGGCAGAAGTCTTAAGTTGCATCCCATCCCCTGGAATCTCCAGGAGGGAGAAGAGGGACAGCCCCTCCTTCCTGCCAGAGCCACAGCTCTAGGGCAATGGGATGGCCCTGCACCCAGCCCAGGCACCCCCTCTGTGCCAACCACGCTGTCCTTTGGTTCCGAGGAGGCCCTGAGCACTGCCCACCCCCACACCTTGGAGGGAGCAGACAGAGGGTGAGTGCTGCACAGAGCCTGCCTGGAGGTGCAGACTCATGCACTCAGCCCTGAAGAGGTGGGAGAGGCTGGATCTTAACTGTGGTCCAGTGGGCACATTATGAGTGGTCCTTGTCCCTGCCTGTTATGGGGTGTCCCTGACAACATGATACAAAAACACAGAACTGTAGTGGGATACAGAGGTGTGTGCACAGCTGGCTGGAGCACTGGCCGCCTCCCAGCCTGCTCCCCATAGCTCACTCCTGGGTGTAGCCTGGAGGGGCTGCCAGGTTGGGGAGGGACTGGCCATGGAGCAGGGAGCTGGACGCCAGCCCATCTCAGACCTGGACTGCAGCATCTCTTTGGTTATCGGTTGTGTGTGTGATCAGAAGGGAGGAGGCCTTCCCCTTGTTACATCTCTCTCTCCATATATTCTCCCAGACTCATCAGTTTGGGGGGCGAAAAGTCCACCACATGGTCTTGGGGACAAACCACTGGGGATGTCACCCCAGCTGCAGAGCCGCAAGCTTGTGCCAGAGGGGGAACTGGGTGAGCAAGGTAGGGGCGAGGCCTGCATGTGCTCCCCCCACCACTGCTGGGACCAGAAAAGATGGGCACCTGATGGCTCAGCTGGGCAGTCCCAACACATTGCCGCTCAGCCAAGGGCCTGAGCCCCAGGCCATTCTGGTTGTGTCTTTTCAGAGCAGTGAGACCTAAAACAGATGGGAAGAAGTCATGAACTTGGGAGTCAGGCTGCTTCGCCTGTCTTCTCACCCTGCTTCACCTTTCTCACCCCACAGGCTCCCCTGAGCCTGACCCAGCCAGTAGCTCACCCGGCCTCAGGCCTCCTGTGGGGCAGCAGCCACACTGCCCATGGAGCTCTGTGCCAAGCACTGTCCAGGGATAGTCCCGCTGATGTTGTGGATGGCACCATAGGTCTGCTGCTGCTGCGGAGACAGTGCTGTCCTCTCCGAGGCCAAGCCGTTCAGAATCCGAGGCACATAGGGCTGTCAGCAAATGGATTCGTGCTTGGCTTGGGGCAGGCATGAGATTCCACACTGCATCCCTCCCCTCCTGCCCTTCTCCTCCCAACAGAAGGACACAGACAGTGGCCATAAAGGACATATGAAGAAATAGCAACATCAATTTAGGACATTAGGACCTAAAATATGCCACCTGTGGAACTTCCTAGCAGCCAGGGCAAAAGAGAAAGCCCAGTTATACAGTTCTCATGATGACAGAAGGAAGTACAGGAGAGCAGTTTCTCCGAGGAAACTAAACTTCCTAGCCCTGGATCCTAGGAGGATTTCTCACTTTGTAGAAGAAACAAGTCTACCTATGTAGGGGGGCTTAGAACGCTGCCCTGGGACCCCTGGGATGCTCAACATATCTGCGTGAGTCTCATTTCCTCCCAATCCCAGGCTCCAGCCACTGACCCCGGGCGCAGAGCCCTGCCCCACTCCTCCCGAGACCCTGACTGTGAGTGAGGGCTTGACATCATCCACCTGTCCTGCGTGTTCCCTGCCTGGCCAGCAAAGCCACAGGTGTGTCTCTGGGTAATGAGTCCTTCTGAGGCCCTCCCTCTTTTGGAACTTGTCCAAGGACAGACACCGATAAGAGAGCCTGACACCTGGGAGGCAGTCACCAGAAAGAACCCTGCAGATGAGGTCGGCTCTGTCCTGGCCCGGCTGTCAGGAAGGCCGGCTGTCAGGAAGGCCGGTGGCCACGGCTCTGGAACCCTGGGGCTCTGTTTTCCCTTACCAGCCCCACCCTAGGAGCAGGACCCTGGAGGCAGGGAGAACCAGGAAGACAAGGAGCCTTCAGAGGAAGACCGTGGCGTCTTCCTCTGAAGCAGGTGCAATGTTCATTTCTTGAATTCAAAGGGAAGTCTGTCTGACACCCTCTTGGAACCTAGTGGAGGACCTCACAGAGGCAGGTGCACTGCTGATGACAAACTTTGTCAAACCGTAGCACCTTACCATGTGCCTTCACTAAAGCCCCAAACTCACCAGCTATTAAATATGCAGAGAAGGACACCTCCCAGGTGTCAGAGCAGGGAACTGAAACCAAGGGGGATGGCCATGAACCGAGACAAGACTCATTATCTCCTCAACAGTTTCAAATATGCAGGTTAAAACACCCAGGGGGACCGGGATTCCTTCTCTGCCATTAATTCACAAACCTGACTGCCATGTGATCTTAGCAAGAGATCATCAAAGCACATTTGCTGGGGCCCATCTGGTTGGGACTGTTACAACCAAAGCAAAAAAGGGCGACAAGCTCGGAGGCTGAGGGGCACAGACAGCTTACTGTGAACGGTGGAGGCATGTGGGCCTCTGCCTCACTTCCTTTGTCACTTGCAGGCTCTTCTGTCTGCAGATAACAGCAAAAACTTGCAATGATAAACAAAACTGATCTCTGTGAACGAACACCCTCCAAACACAGAGACTATTAACACCCGGAATAATAGTACCAGCTGGCACCAAGCTCCCTGGCAGCCTGAGAGAGGATGGGGTGGGGGAGTGCAGTCATGAGGGGAGCAAGGGAAGCTACACATGGCACCCAGCCACCCACGCCTTTCCCATGGAGAAGCAGAATCTGGAGAAGGCTGCTGCTGTGTTGATACGGACAAGGGTGGGAGGCGTTGAGAGCGAGCCCGTCCCACCATCTGTTCCTCCCAGGGCTTGACGGGGCAGTGGGGTCGGGGACCTTTACTTTGTAGTTCAGAGGGCTGAGGTGCCTGAAGCATCCAAAGCAGGTGTGAGCCAGGCAGACCAGGATGGTGAGCAGCAGCACCAGGAAAGTGAACAGAGTGGCAGGGGCCTTCATACCTGGGGACAGAGGGTGGCTAGCCTTGGGGTGGGCAGGGAGGGGCCACCACCTACCCTCACCCTGCTGAGGAAGGGGCCACACCTGGTGTGGAAACTGCCCGTGACTTATCCCTCAGGCAGAAAACAAAGGTAAGGCCTAACCCCCACCCCTAGCCCTCAACTCCAGCAGCAAGGATGGTGTCTTCACAGCCAGGAGCACACAGAGGGACCCACTGAATGGCTGGCATCATCCCTGGTTGCATTTCAGGCACTGGGATGCCAAGTCAATGGCAATTCACCAGCCTCCTTGCTGGGTCCGTTCCCTCCAGTCTCCAGTGCCCTGGGCTAGGTAGGATGGACTGTCCCACACCCCCAGTCTGACCAGGGCAGACATAACTTTCCCCCAGGAGTGTCAGTTTTCTCTCCTCCATGTCCCCACCTCTTCCATGCCAGGAGATACAAGGAGCCGGGTCCAACCACCACCCTCAAAGGGCAATCTGGATCAGCTTCCCCATTTCCTCTGGTTCAGTCCCTGCACAGCTGATAACGGCACTGTCTTCTCTCCAGGGACGTATGGGACAATTGACCAGGCCTTTACAAGGGTTACACCTGCACTCGGGCTAGCTTAGGAGCTCAGCTGTCACCACCACACCCAACCAGCCCTCACTCTGGGTATCCTGTTTTGATTGGACACCTAACCAGTCCTCACTCTGGGCACACATTCTGATTGGACATGTAACCGACCCTCATTCTGGGTATCACATTCTGATTGGACACCTAACCAGCCCTCACTCTGGGCACCACATTCTGACTGGATGCCAAGCTGAGGCTGTGAAAGCAATGGGGGATCTGACTGGCTGGTGGGGATGCAGGGATAGGAGGCCAAGGGCTGGCCCCAGGTTGGAAGGGCCACTCACCCAGGCGCAGGAAGGAAAAGAAGTAGAGCCAGAAGAGGCATAGGATGGGGGCTGCCAAGGCCTGGTTCACAGCAGCAAAGTGTATCCCCTTCTCCAGCTTGGCTGGGAGGTAGACGAAGTAGAGGTTGTGCCGGTCCACCATGTGCTTGAGCAGGATGTAGATGAGGCCTGCAGGGGATGGGGCTGTGAGCTGGAGACCTTGCAGGGCCACACAGACACCTCTGCCCTCTTCCTCTCAGGGGCGGCTGTTTTGGCAAGGAGCCAGGACTGGGGCTGCTGCTCTACTGCTTGAACACAAAATGAGGCATCCTGCACCTCTGGCTGCTAGTTTTGTTTCTCTTTCTCTCTCCTACCCGCTTCCTCACTTCTCTGTGACCCCAAGGTGTAGGGGATCGGTCAGGGTGGTGGGAGAAAATTTAAGATAAAGTTATAGAAAATAGACACAAACCTTGGAAGGCCGAGAGGTTTGCATAACTTCAGTAAAGGGTTTGGCTGAAGGCAGCTGAATTCTCTCAAAAGCTTAGGGCATAGATACATAGGAATGTGGGGGAGTTTACCCAAATAGCTTGTTTACTCATGTGGTCCTGAGACCAACCTTTGATCATCCACAGGTGCAGACTCAGGCAGCAGAGCCCCTTAGCCGCACTGACAGGCAAAATATCTGTCAGTGTATGTCTTTCATTCGTTGCTGGATCAGGGTCTGTGGGACGGACCCCACACCAAGGGAGTCACAGTGTCTGTGATCCTGTCCCCACAGAACACTAACATTCCAGAATCATCTTGGAAAGAGGCTGTTTCACACTTGGATGTCTGGCCTCAATTCCTCCCCAGCCCTTCCCATGCTGAGCCCCCGTATGTCAGTGCTCCCACACCTCTGGCCTTCTCCCACCCAGCTGATCCCTGCCCTCATCAGTCAACAGAGAATGAGGCCCAAGGATCTTACCCCAGGGTTGGCACAGGATCGCACATGGGGGACCAACAGAAAGTGGGTGCTGCCTTTTCTATTATGCCAGGTTCTTTTTGAGACGGAGTCTCGCTCTTATTGCTCAGGCTGCAGTGCAGTGGTGCAATCTTGGCTCACTGCAACCTCTGCCTCCTGGATTCAAGTGATTCTCCTGTCTCAGCCTCCCAAGTAGCTGGGATTATAGGCGCCTGCCACCATGCCCAGTTAATTTTTGTATTTTTAGTAGAGACAGGGTTTCACCATGTTGGCCAGGTTGTTCTCGAACTCTTGACCTCAGATGATCCACTGCTTAGGCCTCCCAAAGTGCTGGGATTACAGGAGTGAGCCATCGTGCCTGGTCCCAGGTTCTTTTTTAAAAAATAAATTTTGTTTTGAAAGTGTAAATACTGTAAATTTTTAAAACTACACAAGAGAGTATACAGTGAAAACTAAAACAACTTCTCCCCCTAAACCTCAGCTATCGCTGCCAGCAGTCTCTTGGGTCTTCTGTTTCCTTCTAGAGCCTTTCATTCATCTGCCAGCTCAAGAGGATTTTTTTTTTTTTATTTCAGTGGCCAGGACCTTGGTCTTTAAACAGTCCTGAGTTCAAATCCTGGTTCTCCTGCTTACTAACAACATATGAAGTTCTTTATCTGTGAAGGGGGAATAGAAACAAGACCTGCCTTGTAGGATAGGGTGTGGGAGCATGCCATACGGGGCTCTGCATGGGAAGGGCTGGGGAGGAATTGAGGCCAGACATCCAAGTGTGAAACAGCCTCTTTCCAAGACGATTCTGGAGGCAGGCATCTGCCGGAGTGAAAGCAGCACAAGAGCTTTGATTGTGACTGTTTTACTTGCTGCTAAAGAAATCAACCATGAACAACGTGGTCACTGGGCAGAGAACCTCAGACCAGAAGTACTGAGAGAGGTCCTAGCTGAGGGCCAGTGGGAGGAATTCATTTAAAAATGAATGAGGCCAGGCACAGTGGCTCATATCTGTAATCCCGGCACTTTGGGAGGCTGAGGTGGGTGGATCACCTGAGGTCAGGAGTTCAAGATCAGCCTGGCCAACATGGTGAAACCCCGTGTCTGCTAAAAATACAAAAAATTAGGCAAGCATGGTGGTGGGCACCTGTAATCCCAGCTACTCAGGAGGCTGAGGTGGGAGGATGGCTTGAGCCCAGGAGGTGGGGGTTGCAGTGAGCCAAGATCATGCCACTCCAGCCTGGGCATCAGCATGAGACCCTGTCTCAAAACAAAAAAAGAAAGAAATGAGTGAAATTTGGTGTCACATGGGTCTTTGGCAGCTTGTGGCTCTTGTGGCTGTGGTTTTGGGAACTCCAACCTGGGCACAATTGTTAGCTGTCCCCGAGAGGCTTGGTGCAATCAGCCATCCACGTACCCTGGGAGAGGCTCCAGGGCCACTCACCAAATGGCGCAACGATGGGACAGGTGATGCTGTAGGCCATGATGACAGTGAAGACACACAGCATCCACGCATACATGGCTCCAAACTCGTACTGGAAGGCCTGGTTCTGGGAGAAGGAGGTGGTGAGGAGCTCATGGACTTGTTCCACCTCAAACACCCTTTTGTGCTCTCCAAGTGGTGAGGGGAGAGCGGGGTAGAGGACTTTGGAAATAGGAGATGCGTGGCTCCCCGCCTCCCAAGGTCCTTCCCATCCCTCCCAGCCTGCCCTGCTTCACTGAGCGCACCCAGCCCTCCTGAGGCACGGTGATGCGTGTTTGCTAGTGCTCCCTTCATTCCAATCCTGTCCACCCAACAGGCGTGTGAGCCCCTGGAGAGAAGAGGTGGTCGGGGAAGAGGTGTAGAGTGACTCCTCGTGACTCCAGCCCTTCTAGCAGGGGATCCTGGGCCAGCTTAGTTCGTGCCTTTGTGAAATCGGGATACTAGCAGTGCCCGGCTCATAAGGGGCTGAGAATGAAATGAAGGAATGCAGCACTTCTCCCACTTTCCTCGCGCAGTGTCCACCATGGCAGAGGAGAAGAAAAGAGAATCTCACACCCTCTGGTTCAGGGAATCCTGGAATAAATGCCATAAGCCAAAAATGCCTTTGACATATGGGGTTTGGCTAAGAATTTATGCAAATGGGCACCCATGGAAAAAGAGTCTGTTGGTTTGAGTTCTATGTATGTATGTGTGTGATCAAACTGTTTCAAATGCCAGAGTCCCAAACTCTCTCCTCCAGCCTGTGAGCTAGAGAGGAGGCTGGAGGAGACCACGCCTGCCTGGGCCCGGGTTTGAGAAGCACTTAGCCCAGTGCCTGCATTAGTGGGTAGTCGGGTAGATGCTACCCATTAGCGGGGGTAGTGGGGGTGAGAGGCCCTCGGGTCAGTGAAGGGGGACATGGGAGGGAGTCAGAGGCACAGCCCTGGGCCCAGGGGATGGCACCTGCTTGACATTCCTGCGGTCGGCAGCCGTCTTGGCCATGATCATGCGGAAGGTGTAGAGGATGAGGCCTGGCAGCCGCAGCAGCTCCATGCCATTGCCGATGAAGGCCGAGGCGATGACGTAGTTCACAAAGAAGGCGCCCTGGTCAGGCAGGAAGACACACCTGGGGAAACCGGGGCCCAGGTCTGTGAGCTGAGAGCCGCTCTTGGAGGGAGAGGAGGGGCTCCTAGGCTGGGCAGGAGCAGAAAGCCCCTGGGAGGGCTGTATAGTCTTCCGTTCATTCAGCACATATTTGGAGAACACATCTGCGTGCCAAGTACCTTTCCAGACATTGAGAACAGAACAAAGCCCCTGCCCCCACTCTCTTGAAATTCACATTCTAGCTGGGGGCACAAAGAAGCAAACAAACAAATATTCCATATGCCGGGGGTGGTGAGTCCTAGAGGAAAATAAAGCAGGGAGGGTTCCTATGTTATACAAGGGTTGGAGGAGCCTTTCTAACAAGGTGATACTCGTGCAGAGATGTGAAGAAGTGAAGGAGCAAGTCATCCCAAAACCTGGGAAGACAGGATTCCAGGGAAAGGGAACAACATATAAGACGCCTGAGGATGCCCTCGTCTGCTGCACATCCAGGAAGAACAAAAGGGCAGGTGGGGCTGGACAGCAGTGGGCTGAGGGAAGGCAGAAGACAAGGCTGAAAGGGGCTGGGGGCAGACCCAGGGCAAGGGATCTGTTCCGATGGGGTCAGGAAGACTACGCAGATGGTCGCTGTGTGATCCCCATGTGGGGCAAGGGCAGTTGTGATGGAGGTGATGAGATATGGAGGGATTCTGGATCTACTTTAGAGAGAGAGCTGTCAGGATTTGCTGATAGGCTGGGTATGGCATGGGAGGGATAGAAAGGAAACAAGGTGAACTTTGAGGTTTTTTGCCAAAACAGTTAGAAAAACAATATGGAATGGGGAAAGTTATAGAGTAGCAGATTTGAGGGTAAAAGTCAGGAGTCTGGTTTTGGGCAGGTAACATCCGTGGTACCCAGTAAAACTCCAGCTGGAATTTGAGGTGGGCAGTTGGGTTATCAGCCTGGAGGTGCAGGCTAGAGGCATAAATGTGGATGTTGTCCGCATAAGTTAATTCAGGAGCAGTCTCATGGCATGGAAGCCATAGGTTCAGCTGAAGTCACCTAGAGAGGCAGTGTGGACCCAGAACTGGGGGCTGAGCCTTCAGGCAGCCAAAATCTAGAGTTGGGGAGATGGGAAAGAACCCACCAAGGAGGGTGACAAGAGGATGCCGCCAGATGAGACAGCCAAGGCAGAGCTTCGAGAAGGAAGGCTTGGATAAATGTGTCAGATGTCGCTGATAGATCATAAGATGAGAATGGAGTTGGTCACTGGATTTGTCAATCTGAAAGTCACTGTCAACCTAGACTATTGCTGGTTGTATGTATGTGTGTCTGTCATAGCCGCCAGCTCCCAACTCATCAGCTTACTCAGCAAGAACTCATTTAAAATAACTCACCCCATCCTTACAGGTAAGCACATTCTTTTAGGAAAGTCAATGCCAAGCCTCTGGGCCTATATTAAGACCTAACGTATAGTCTGTAGGGGCTGGGGTTGAATCCCAGCTCTGTTCCTTAACTGGCTGGGTAGACTTGGGCAAGTTATTCAACATCCCCGAACCTCAGTCTCCTCATCTGTAAAATGGAGAGAATAATAGTATCTTCCTCATAGCTCATTGTAAAGATTCAGTGAGAAAAAGATGCATAAAGCATTTAGAGTAGTGCCTTCTTAAACAATAGCTATTACTGTTAAGTGGCATGGTGTAAGTTTAAAATACTAACAAGGATACATCGGCAGTAAGTTTAATTCTATTCTGGCAAAAATAATCCCCAGAGCCCAGAGGCATCCCGGTTGCCATGTTTAATTATTATTCTCCTTTCCCCACTCCCTGGCACCACTGAGACCCAGCAATTCCTTCTCCCCATGTGGCTCTGTGCTCAGTAAGTTTCAAAGAATGAATGAGACAGCTGCTAATTGAGTTCTGGCCTAAAAAATTAACCACATTTCTGCAAGCATAGCACAAAGTGGGTCAGCTCCCACGGTGTCTACCAGGAACCTGGCAGGGTGGAGGTGAGGCCCCAAGCCCTGCTGTCTGGGGAGAAAGATGCCTGTTCGGAAGCATAGGCTACGAGCACCCCTACCCACCCCACTGCAGCCCTAGCCCCTGTGGGACTCTCACCCAGAGCCATGGCTCCAAAACTCAACTTGGCAATACTCACTCCAACCTGATGGAAGCCTTCGAGGAAGTTTTGTCAAAGAGCCACCGGAAGAAAAAGTCTAGACTGAAAAACAAAGGAACCCCCTAAGAGTTTATTTCCAGCATTCCATATTGTCACTACATATGCTTTCATTTTCTTTTGCTCTAAAAACAGGCCAAAGCTCGAGATCGACTTTTGTTCTCAACGATGCATTACTGCAGCATGACCTGTCACAGTCTGCTTTACCAGAAACTTCCTTCTTTGAGATAAACAAAGCCATAATGAGGCCCTCCCTAAGTGGAAGGTCCTTGGTAAGTTTCATTTTCTTTATTCTTTTGTAGAGACGGGGTTTCGCCATATTGCCCAGGCTGGAACTCCTGGACTCAAGCGATCTGCCCACCTCGGCCTCCTAAAATGCTAGGATTACAGGCATAAGCCACCGTGCCTAGCCACAAAATTTTCAAGCTATTTTTTCTTTTCTTTTTTTTCTTTTTTGTTTTTTGGTTTTTTTTTAGACACAGTCTCACGCCTGTAAGCCCAGCACTTTGGGAGGCCAACGCGGGTGGATCACCTGAGTCAGGAGCTCGAGACCAGCCTGACCAATATGGTGTTATTTTCTTTTTTAAAGAAGAACAATCATATTGCCAGAAGAATCAATGACCCAGCCCTACTGCATGCCAAGAGGTTGCGACACACTTAGATATTGTTAGAGGTTTGCTTCTGCTACCAAACCATTTGCATTCTCCTGGGGACAGTGCTCTCCTGATGTGACTCTTATTCTGAATTTACAGCAGGAGGTGGTGGCATATACCTGGTGAGACCCAGGGAGGGCAGGATCAGCACCATGAAGATCAAGAATATGTAGACTTTGGTCATCACGATCTGGTTTTCCCCTGACCTGCAGGAAGTCAAAGGTGAGTACTCACAGTCCCCCAGATGCTCCAGGTGCCCCCAGTGAGGCCCCTGCCATGTGCCCATTGGCTGAGCAGTTGGGGGACAGGGTGTGGACAAGGGAGCGGTCAGACAAATACGTCTTAGGGGCAGGGCCTCAGGACTCCCGGGTACTCACTTGGTCCAGTGAGACTCCAGCAGTGTAGAGTAGTAGACAATGGAGGGGAGCAGAGCCGAGAAGGACCAGAGCAGGAGGGTGGGGAAGAACTGGCTGATGATCGGGTTCTAGGAGAAAGGTCCACAGCAGAGAGAGTCACAGGGGCCGTGGGCCACACGGCTCTGAGGCCATGACCTATTGGCACGGTCGCTCAGTGGACTCCTGGGGTAGGAGTTTGTCATCTCTGACCCCCAGAACCAACACTGTGCCAGGTACAGAGCTGGTAGTCCATAAATGTTGGCTGAATAATCAGTAACAGCACCTTATATTTGTATACCTCCTCACAGCACAGCAAAGAAAGCAATTTCACATACAAGTAAACGCCACTTATCTGACTAAACAGATTAAATAACCTTCTCTGCTCCCTATACAAAACAAATGACTGATGCCATGGGAAGACTGAACACTGAAGGCCTGGAGTCCTGACTGGGGGCATGGGGCGGGCAGGGGATGCCCTGCCTGCTCAGCTCCCACTGGTCCAGCTGCAGCATATCAGGACTCTACTGTGTGTGTCCACAATCCTGCTGTTTGTTACTGTGATTACATGAGCGGATTGACTTATTACTGTCACTTATTAGATGAACATAAAAACAGAGAGAAATTTTCTTTGAAAACTAAGTTGGATACTTTGGAAAGACTTGATAAAAGTCAATTTCTAAAAAAAAAAAACGCTGTTAATTAGATGAGAGTAAATTAACGATAAAAGATCAAGGGATATGCGATCTAGGAAGTTTCTATATTCAGAATGGCTCTGCAAATATCTAAATTCTTCATTTATTTTAAAGAAGGCAACACTGGAATCACAAAACAATGAAATAAGGAGTGGTTGATGTAAAATAGACAAAGGGGAGCTCTTAACAGCAGATCCATCCTCAAAAGAATAGGCCTGTCCCTCTATTAAAAGATTGGCAAAGGAATGCATGTTTATAATACCTGCTTGAAATCTTAAACAAAACTGCTGAATTTATACTTAGGTAGTTTTAAACTATTTATGGAGTCAGATAAGAGCTTCAACCACACATCAGCTCATTGATTATCATGACAACAGCCTCGCGTCCTGTATAATAGGGCAGGTGTTTTAACTCCAGTCCTTGGATGAAAAACTGAGGTTCAGAATTCATCAGATGGGGAGAATGGCAAAGTGAGGACAAGGAGGCCCTCCTGCCCAGTATGCTTTCCCAGAGAATAAGTAACCAAATGCAAAGTGAAATTTAAAAAGAAAAAAAATTTAGGGAGATGGCTTGGCAAAGTTAATCATAAGAAACCAATAGCTTTTTGAGTAAATGCCAGTTGAGTGTTTGGCTGTTATCCCATTGACTCATGTAAGATTTTTGAAAATCACTCATTACCTATACAGAATAAATAGTTTTTGTTGTTTTTTGTTGTTGTTGTTGTTGTTGTTTTCTTTAGATGGAGTTTCGCTCTTGTTGCCCAGGCTGGGGTGCAGTGGTGTAATCTCGGCTCACTGCAACCTCCACCTCCCGGTTCAAGCAATTCTCCTGAGTATCTGGGAGATACTCAGCCTCCTGAGTATCTGGGATTACAGGCGCCCACCAACACACCTGGCTAATTTTTGTATTTTTTAGTAGAGATGGGGTTTTGCCATGTTGGCCAGGCTAGTCTTGAACTCCTGACCTCAGGTGATCCGCCTGCCTTGGCTTCCCAAAGTGCTGGGATTACAGGCGTGAGCTACCGTGCCTGGCCCCAGAATAGTTTTATAACAAGGTCATTAGCAACTAAAATGTAAAAGAAATAATTTGTGATCCTGCGACCTCCAATCAACGAAGCTCTTTTCCTTCCTTCCTGGCCACTCCCCGTAGTGTCCATGATAGACATGCCTCACTGGTACATCCCTGCTTCTGTCAGGAGCCCTGCATGGGTGCCACAAAATCTACACAATTTTTAATGGATGCTTAATTTCTACCAAACTGAATAGACCTCATTCAACTCAAATGGTCCCCACCATTGAGTATTTAGATACAGTCTATTAAAATATATATGTATGCGTGTGTGTGTATATATATACATATAATATGTGTGTGTGTGTGTATGGCATTACTATAAAGACATTGAAATAAACGTAGCCATGCCTGCTCAGGGCTTAAAAGCAAGGATGTGAGCTGAGCGACATGACCCCCTGGTGTAGTTTCCCGCATACACCCCACTCTTGTCCCCATTCCTTCCCCACCCACTAAGCCCTCTTCTCACCAGCTCTCCTGGGAGGGGCCTTGCAGAACAGTTACTCACATTCAGCGCATGGATGGGTTTGGTGACATTAAACTTGTCCATGGTGGACAGGATGATGGAGGGTGTGGTCAGGAAAAACAGCCCCAGGAAGAGGGTGAAGTTGATGCCCAGCCACTGTAGCCACCAGCGGAGGCCCTGGATAGAGAGGTTCTTCCTGCAGGGGGGAGAGGGGACACAGGTCTCCAGGCTTGTCTCCCAGTGCTCGTGGCTTAGGTGGGTCAGGTGGTCAGATTTAGGCAGACCAAGAGACTAGCCTGGGGGCAAGTTCTCCGCACTGACCTCGAACTACAGAAAGGCCAAGTCTTAGGTCCCCGAGAGCTCAGAGGGAACAAAGGTTATTCTCTCAGATGTGGCTCTCAGCTAGAGTGTGGGGGCCAGAACCTACCCAAAGAGATGGCATGAGCACCGAAGCAGGCCAAACAAGGCCTTCTTTTCTTTTTTTTTTCTGGAGACAGAGTCTCGCTCAGTCATCCAGGCTGGAGTGCAGTGGTGTGATCTCGGCTCACTGCAACCTCTGCCTCCCAGGTTCAAGCAATTCTCCTGCTCAGTCTCCCATGTAGCTGGGACTACAGGCATGTACCACCACACCCAGATAATTTTTTGTATTTTTAGTAAAGACAGGGTTTCACCATGTGACCCAGAGTGGTCTTGAACTCCTGAGCTCAGGCAGTCCGCCCACCTCAGCCTCTCAAAGTGCTAGGATTACAGGTGTGAGCCACCATGCCCAGCCCCAGCATGGCATTTCTTAGACACATCTGCAATGCTTTGTGACTAATGACACATTCTTCCCAAGGGGGCTATGGCTGGGGTGCAGGGACGAGGGAGGCAGGGACAAAGGAACAAAGGCATAGCTTGCACCTGCCCTGGCCTCTCATCCCAAAGAACAGACCCACAAAGCAATCCTGAGTTTAGGAAGCCCTGTGAACCAAAGAGCAAAACTGTTGAAGGCAGAACTAGAACCGAGCAGAGAGGAGCAACTCAAGCTCATTCTGTGCAAGGAGCTGAGGCAGAGCTGGACAGGCAGCTGCGCTGGGTCTTGCGCTGGGTTCCCTTACCCTCAGCACAGCACTGGAGGCTCACCATGGCCCCCATGGACACAGCTCAGCTCACCAGCACAGCTCCAGGCTGACACTGGACCTAAGTAAGACTGCACAAGCTGCATGTGGCTACTGAGCATTTGAAATGTGGCTGGTATGAATTGAGAGGTGCTAGAAGTGTAAAATACACACCAGATTTTGAAGACTAAGTGTGAAAAAGAGAATGTAAAACATCTCACATTTTCCAAAAATTGATTGCATGTTGAAATAACAGTTTGAATATATTGGGTGAGATAAATTATTAAAATTAATTTCAACTGTTTCTTTTTACCTTTTTAGCATGGCTATTAGGAAATTTAAAATTACATTCAGAGCTGGCATTATATTTCTGCTGGGTAGCACTTGAATGCTAGGGAGGAACACTGGAGGGAAGGGCTGGGCAGATACCCCAGTTGGGCCACACTGAGCACATCACAGCATCATGGCCCAGAGAGTTGCAGATGTGTGGAGATCTCCATTGACTGCCAGGTCACACCTGTGCTCCAGGTGATGGGCAGCTCCCACCAGGAACCCAGGCCTCTTTCCCACCTCTCCCTGTTCTAGGAGCTCACCAGCAGATGTCCTCAGGGTCAGCGGCAAAGGTGACTGTCCACTTGGAGGTACAGAGCTCTCTGCTATGGGAGGACGGCTGCGGCTCACCTTTGCACTGAAGGCTCTGACACTTGCAGGCATTGAAATCTTTCAGGATGCTGCAAGGAAATGTAGAAACAGCCAGGCCCAGGCTACTCAGGTTACCGTGGCAAGTGAGGACTGAGTAGGAGTGGCAAGCAGTGACACAGGACCTTTCCTTTGTTGTGATTAGTGTATTATGAGTAATGCTATGTAAGAGGCGCCATGCTAGCACACTGTGTGGAGAATTTTGTTTAATCCTCGCAACCACCAGCAAGAAAGGGAGTACTATTCCCATTTTACAGATAAGGAAACTGAGGGCAACACATCCCAACACACTGCTCTTCCATAGGGCCATCCCCCTCCACCCTGCCTGTTAAGCTGGAGCTCTGATCAATGCTACTGCCAAGCCAGTGGCTCACCTTTTCATTCTGTCACTTTTTCCCCAGGCCCAAGGGTAGCAATAGACCGCGTTATACACTGCCTATTCCCAAGCTTCCCTCCTCAAGGCTCCCACCTCAACCCTCACCATCTCAACAGGTCACAGCTTTTCCTCCTTTAACTTCCCATAAGGAGCCCAGCAGCCCCTCTACTCCTGCCTCAGATGCCTTCCCCTTTCCTCCTGCCCTAGTGTCTGCAGGGAGGCAGGAAGTCCTGTGTGAGTCCATTCCCAGTGTCACAATGCCTGGGGCAGAGAAGGCAGGGGGAGGGGCAGTGGCTGGACACCTCCTTTCGGCACCCCTCTTCCAACCCACCCCCTGCTGCTCCTAAGGCGAGATGACACTGAGACCACAGGCATGAGAGCCTAGAGTCCCATGCAAAGGGCCACTGTGAAAAGCCACTCCCCAGGGTCGAGCTTCCGACAGCAGTGAGCGCCCCAGCGTGCCCCAGGGGTCTTCCCCACAGCTTTGCGTTTGTGGGAAGGTGGGGAGCCACAGACAGAAGGATCTGTGGTCCAGAGCAGATGTCTGAAAGGAGGGTGCCTCCATCTCCCGTCGGGGAAGGCTGGCACATGAAGCCAACAGGATGGGTCCAGGGCAGCAGGGAAGAGCCTGGCAGTGGGGCCAAGCCACATCAGCTTGAGGGGGTTGGCCAGAATCACCCACTCCATGGCTGCTGCCCACACCCCCACCACCTGTCACACAAACATGGGCTGGGCTGGCCGAAAGTGAGTGTGGGTGGCTGAGGGAGGAGAAGGAAACACCACAGATAAATCCCAGGGATGGTGGGTCAGCAGTACCATCTCTGCCCAAGAGGGACAGTCAGTTATCTGGAGGGGAACAGGGAGTCATCCAAGAAGGGGTCTGGGATGTGCCCACACTCACTAGGTGGCCATGGACTTCTCCTGGAAGGTGACAAAGGCCATTCCCAGGGGCTGGTCCTGGACGTGGCATTCTTCCTCTGTGATCCTCTCCAGCAGCCTGTCCTTCATCCGCGTATAGTAAGAGATGGCGTCTTCCTGCCAGAAGACACATCCCATTGGGAGGATGTGGCCCCAAGCAGCTGTCTGGGGCCCCCTAAGCCAATGCCTGTGCTTCCAGCCGGGGAGCGGGGCCCTTACCCACTCACAGCCCAGCACTTCGCAGCAGCAAAACTGGCCACAGGGCTTGGGGTTGATGAGGGTCCGCTGGCCTGTCTTCACCTGCAGGTTCGTGTAATAGGTCAGGCTCTTCTCAGTCTTCTTTCTGTAGGGGTGGGAGCAGGGGCACAAACTTTAGATTCAGAATCCTGTGGCAGAGACCCCCACACCCACAGTTCAATCATCGGTTGCTAGGGGAGAAGGAGGAGTCCAGGGCTTCCCTCCTCCCCTCTTAGCTGGAGGATGCAAGGCCAGCAAGGAAGGAGTGGGCATCTCGCAAAGCCCGCCCGCCACTCACCTCTCCTTGCACAGGTAGATCAGTTTGGCCACGTTGTAGCACAGCTGGACATCAACCACCTCACACGTGGGGTACGCATCCCTGTGGCCAGGGAGAGAAGGAGGCAAAAGATGCCATTGGATAAGAAAACACCCTAAGCAGGAGACATGCCCACGAATCCAAGGGAAAGGAAGGCAGAGTGATCTCGCTGCTGGTTTCTGTGCCAGCAGAGACCTCTCTTCTGTCTTTTATCCTCCAAAAGGGGGAAATTTTGAAATTTAATACAAAGAGGGCTTTTGTTTTGTTTTGTTTAGAGACAGGATCTCACTCTGTCACCCAGGCTGCAGTACAGTGGCACAATCAAGGCTCACTGAAGCCTCAACCTTCTGGGCTCAATCAGTCGCCCCACCTCAGCCTCCCGAGTAGCTGGGACTACAGGCACATGCCACCAGGCTGATTTTTTTTTTTTTTTTTTTTTTTGTAGAGACGGGGTCTCGCTGTGTTGCCCAGGCTGATTTCGAACTCCTGGCCTCAAGCACTCCTCCTGTCTCACCCTCCCAAAGTGCTGGGAT